AAATATAAATATTTCATTACATCTTTCTATCGCATTTGATCCAGAGATATCATGCGAGAGATCCAGCGTCTCCGTCTTGAGCAGGAAGCGTTCGCCCAAGAGGGCGGGGACACGGGCCAGTACAACCCTACTCTACTGGCCGAGCTCCGCCTCCTGAGACAGCGCAAGGACGAGCTGGAGGCGCGCATGCAGACGCTGCAGGAGAGCCGCAAGGACCTCATGGTGCAGCTGGAGACGCTCATGAAACTGCTCAAGGTTTGTTGTTGTTGTTTTTTTGTTTTTTTGTTTCTTTGATTGTTTTTTGTTTGTTTATTTGTTTTTCTTTCTTTCGTCTCCCCCTATCAATTTCTCTCTCTCCTGTCTCTCTCTATCTCTTTATTTTCTTATCTTTAAAGCTACAGAGTTAATATTTTGACAAAGATAACTTTGTATAGGTAGTTGCAACCTATTAGAGGACTTTTTTAATATTATATTTTATTTTGTAAGCGAGATATCCCGGATCTTAACAGGTGACTTATCCTCTTCATCAATAACCTCATGAATGAACTGCCCAAAGGAATACATGCCGCATTGTATGCAGACGACCTGGTTCTTTGGTGCTCTGAGGAATTCGTCACTACAGCCACATATCGCATGCAACTAGCATTGGACAAACTCACTACATGGACAAAAACCTGGTGTGTAACCGTAAACAAAGAAAAGTCTTCTGCTACACTCTTCACTCTCAGACAGGCTGAGCCAAAACATCTCACATTAGACAAAACCCCCTAAAGTTTGAGAAACAACAGAAGTATCTTGGAATAATCTTTGACAAGCGTCTCACATGGAAACAACACATTCAGAATGCAGAAAATAAAGCCAGGAAGAAACTTAACATCATGAGAAAACTAGCAGGGACTCAGTGGGGAGCAAATGAGAAAACACTAACACAGATCTATCTGGGCGCAATCAGGCCCCATCTCGAGTACGGATCCAGTGCATGGATGACTGCAGCACAGACTCACAAATACACTCTGGAAAAAGTGCAAAACCAGGCTCTCCGAATAATCACTGGAGCAATGAGGTCAACGCCTATAGAAAAGATGGAACAAACAACATCTATAGTGGCCTTGCAGAGGAGATGGGAATGCAAGGCCCTCATACAGTACACCAAGGCCACAGCTATGGAGGATCATATACTGCACACGAGAACAGCGAAAACAAACACCGCAAGACTCAAAAGATCCAACTTCATCAAAGAAAGCAGAAAAATCCAAAGATCCCTACAGGACCATCTACCAGCCACAGTTAACATGCTGAATCACACCCCAGAGGCACCATCATGGGAAAAGAAAAACACAAACATATATATACACACGTCCATTCCTATGTTCACCACAAAAGATGACCACAGCGACCTGAGCAAGAAGTCCCCCACCCTGTCCATGCTTGAAGAAAGATACCCACGAGAAGCATGGATAAGGATCTATACAGACGGATCTGCCACTGATGCTGTGAAAAGAGGAGGAGCCGGAGTGTACGTACAGTTCCCAAATGGACGACGACAAGCAGAGGCAGTCCCAACAGGGCGACATTGTACAAACTACAGGGCAGAAACGGAGGCTCTAGTACATGCAGCAAACATCATCAAGAATGTGGTAGACCCCCAACGCCAAGTAGTATTCCTAACAGATGCCATGTCAGTACTGCAGGCAATCACTTCCGGCAAACTACCAAGGCTACGAAAAGAAATCTGGGGATCATGCTGCAGTGGATTCCACCACACTGTGGTGTCTTGGGAAATGAGCAGGCAGACAGGATGGCCAAACTAGGAGCACAAAAAGAGCAACCAGACAACAGCGTTAACTACACAGAAATAAAAACTATTATAAATACACTATTTAAAGCACCTCAGACACCAGATGGCTACCATGAGCTGTCCCGCCAGGAACAAGTGATTATCTTCAGACTAAGGACACAACACACAAGACTGAGACAGCATATGTACAAATGTTTTAAACTAGTACAATCACCAAAATGCCAGTGTGGAGAGGCGGACCAAACTGTTGAACACATCCTTCAGCACTGCAAGACACACAGGGCCCTGAGACAGGAAACGTGGCCAACCCCACTGACGCTACAAGAGAAGCTATACGGGCCGCCAGATGAACTGACTAGGACGGCCCAATTTATGACAGATACCGGACTTCAAGTGTGATGCGATCGAGAAGAAGAAGAAGAACAGGTGACTTGCTAAAACACCGAAATTTCCTTTAAAATCCGAGTCTGAGGCATTTAGAACGTAGTAATGTGAAAAATATTTCATTAATTTAAAAAAAGCAAATTGCAACTAAATCTACGCCTTTTGCCTACTCTGAGACCAATTTTCAAAGGAATCCTATAAACAGCCTCCGATATCTCGCTGCACTAAAACTCCATACCCCTAAAAATATCGCTTTTTTTAAAGAAAAGCAAAAAAATGCGTTAGCATTGTTATTACTTTTTTTTACAACCGCAAACAGATCAATGCAATGTTTGTCTTTTTCAGTATCTACCACAGCACTGTGCCAATCACCCAGTTTAGAATAGAACAATGTAAAAATGAAATAAGAATGCAGTTTGGATTGATAAGATAATATATTTTTTATTTCAAGAAAATAACACAAGGAAAGGGGGAATAAGTTACTCGTATCTCAAAGATTGAAACAGTTCAATCATAGTCATACTTTATTCAAAATAATAAAGCAATAAGAGAAACACTTCTAAACACTGAAGTATATTTTTCAACAGGTGGAATTTTTAATTTTTAGGATAACTTTTGTGTAAGTTTTGAGGTGTATTTGTTCTTCCTAAAAAATAACATTTATTTTATCTTGAACCCAAAAGTAACCGGCTCTGCCTCTAGACAATGGCATCACTGAAACCAAACAAGAAGCCCCGCTTCTTTTAGCCGAGGTAGATGACTGGTAACATACACCGATAATGCAGACAGTTTAAACTTAAAATCCGATTCAGGTCCGATGTGTATTATTAGCAAAGCATTTTACATTGCACGCTGAAGACGCGAGTTCGATTCCGTATCAGAAAGATGATTTCATCGAGTATCTTCGCACTTGCTGAAACTTTTGGAACGAAAGAGCGTCCTAAAGTCTCGACAGCGGTGATAAAAGTAGGATGTCCAGCTGGAGTGGGACTGTCAGACAAGCATGGTCAATCATATTTTGGTAATAGCTAGCGTTTTGTAAATGATCTGTTTGCATGTTGCTTTTTTGGAGGTTTATTACCTGGTACTTTGTAATTTTGTAGCTGTCATCTTCAATTTTCAATGGCCAATAGTACAATGGATAAAGTTAACCTTGCTCAAAGTCAACACTTTTTTCTGTCTGGGGTGTTGACTTTATTAGAATGCCACTGTAACTTGTTTGATTTGTAATTAAGGCGCTTTGTCATTGACATAATTCTCAATTTTTTCCTTTTTAGTAAGAAAGAGTGTATGCAATATTTTGCTTGAATTATTTACTATAATTTTTAAAAATTATTTTTAGTGCATATATTATTATGTGCGTGCATGTGTGTGTATGCATGTTTTTCATGAATATTATGCAATGCGCAGAGAACAATGATTGTTTCACGGATTTGCGCGATTTAAATGTCATATTATTTTTATCATTATAAGCGAACAATGTAATATTACCCGGGGGGGGGCAAATGTAAGAAGAGTGTAAGAAGGAGGGGGTGGTCAAAAAGTCCCAAAAAAGGTGTAAGAGTGTATTTGAACAGCCCCTAACGATAGACCCACCACCCCAGTTTATTTTTTAAAAAGTAAATCAACTCATCATAAATTTTATTTTTAAAGGAACCTTTCAACACATCAGGCGCACAACGTTAATACAGGACAAGTCTAACGGAGGAATACATTAACAAGATATAGAGACAAAAACACCAACCTATGGATTACAACATGTTATGAACATAACAAACAACAAAAATGACACTCCCTAGCTCACTTCTACACATAGGTTTACATTCACAAACCTAACACCGATAGGCAACGCAGTACCACATTTTTTCGGCCGACAAGCCTCCTTCTATAAAAGCAGTGTATAGAGAAACTATTTGGCAAGTTAGACTACAAACAAACTTTGAAGATAAAACCCACACACCCAACTCTATTTCGGATTTGTTTCAACGGGAAATTACATACTGATTCAATACAGAAACAAAATATGAAGATCATTTGAGCTGAGGCGAGAGAGAGTGAGTAAATATTTTGAATACTCAATGTATGTTTTGAATACAAGCGCAACAACGAGGACAAAGACTGAACAGACGAACTGCGTGAGACAAGACGAGACTGCTCTGTTAACACCCCCCCCCCCCCCCAATGGGTTGGGGGCTAATAATTAAACCCACTGCTCCACCAGCAGGAGGTGCGACCCCTTCTATAGTGAAATGTCACCAATGAACATCTACGCTCAGGTACGAATGGCCGACATTTGCTTATATTTGTTTTGTTTAGTATAGGGTTTTACGGCGCTCGCAACTGCATAAGGTCATATGAGCGCGCGGGACACACCTAATACTTTTTCGTTGGTAGGAAATTTTGAATTTTGCCCGGGTGGCGGCCGAAGCCTACTCTTATCGATTTTAGACCACCAAGGGATCTTTAACGTGCGCAACTTGCACACGGGCCCTCCGAGATTTTTCGCCCTTGTCCGAGAAGGCTAGGTGTAGATCTTTCCTACCAGAAGATCAGGGGTGTGGCAGAAAGACAGCAGTTAGGAGGAGCCAAGGAGTAGCAGTAGAAAGGCTGCAGAAAGAGTCAGGAGCCCAGAGGAGGGGGCAAAGGAGGTGAGGGGGTGGGGGCAGAAAGTGGAAATGAAAGCAGACAACAGAACATTGTTAGAGATCAGGAAAGGATGTGAAAGGAGACAATTTTAGAGAAGAAAATTTTTTGGTCGCTACCCGGAATCGAACCCGGGACCTTTGAATGAGAGGCCAACACCTTAACCTCTAGGCCACGAGAGCCCCACATTTGCTTAGGTGTATCGTCTGTCTTCTGTCGTCTTTCTTCCTTTTTATCCTTCCCCGAGCTGACCGGGGACCATCATCATCATGCAGTGCCAGATCTGCGACAGACATCGGCGATCATGGTTTTCCATTCATTCCTTTGCTCGGATTCTCTCAAAAAAGCTACGTTTCCCTGATCTAAACTTGTTACCCATTTGTTTAGGTTCCCAAAATATGTTGTTCTGGGCCTACCCCTGCCTCACTTGTCCTCAATTTTGCCAGTGAGAACTAGATGTTCAAGACCCTTATGTCTATTCAGGTGTCCCAAAAACTGCATTTGTCGTTTCCTGATTGTTTTTAACATTGAGCGTCCCACGTGGGCTTCATCAAGCACTACCTCATTTGATTTGTTTTCCTTCCACGATACTCTTAGCAGTTTTCTAAGAAACCGGGGAATAAAATAAAAATCTAAGTTGGCTGTCCCATTAACAGGGCGTGCAGACCCCCCCTGATGGGATGCCACTCGTACGTCACTAGCTCTCTGACGTGAGGGTGGAATCTTTTGTCCGTACTTGCTATGTCTTCTGTCCATCTATCTTTCTTTCCGATCTATCGACCGAAGGTCTGGTCAAGCAAAAATTGGACCCCGAATCCCCGCAACGCGAGGCGCCCTGTTTTGTGGAAAGCGAGGGGGAAGCCCTGTTGACAAAATTGTCGAAATCTTTTACAAAGATGTGATACAAGAGTTTTGTATCCGTGGTCACCAGCGCAGGCCTACGGCTGATGATGGATTGAAGTCCATACGTTCGCCCATACTCTGATTCCCATTTATCAAAAGCTTGTGCCATGCCATTTATCAACTCTGGGATGTGCAATAGAAAGGGCCATGGCTTTGGCGTGCGACCCGTACGACCGGAGAAGGGGATCCTGGTGGCTGAGGTGTGGCTTCCCTCACCAACACGCCACTTCGGCCCTGCATTCGGTCTTGACGGGCGAGTGTAGTGGCCTACTGCACTCAATCGGTTGCGACTGGTTTGTAAAACCGCTTTTTTGGCCAACCTTGGTTGGAAGGTGAGATTTCTTGCCGTCTGATTGGGAGTATACCTCCACTTCCAGGGTAGCCCTGACACCAGCTATGGACTTCTGAACCGTGTCCCCCTGTTGGACTCGGTGGCGGGTGGGGAGCCCTGGAGATTAAAAATAAACGAAAAATTTATGGATAAAAAAAAAAAATCATTTCTCCCCCTACCCCAAATCCCAACACGTCTGTGCCAAATCCCAACACGTCCCTGTCAGGAGGAGCGGGTGGGAATCCTGACCAGGGCAAAAGAAAAAGATTAAGAGAGGATGATACTAAGCATTTGGGACCTGTCGCCTTATTTGGTGATCTCCTCAGTTGACCTGTCAAAAAAAAGTAACATCTTTAAGCGTCTTTGCCATTGGCAGAGCTGTTAGAGCCTTGG